CAGTAAATACACTGACTGTGAGTTTGGGCTGTTGGCCAACCTTTATGCCAGTGAGGGCCAACCTGGTAAGGTACGTACTTGGATCAAAGGTGACTTTGCCTGTAGAGCTTTGTGGCTGAAGGGAAATTCATGTTTCAATGTTATCCGGTCAGTAAAGTAGTAATTCTATTAAAGAAATATCCAAACATAAGGAACCGATGCTGGTGAATGAAGGAAAGAATTGGTGGAGACAGAGAGGCATCTGAATTTGAGGGATGAGTATTAGTTTACTAAAACCTTTCCATCATAAATCATCCATCCAAATCCAGTCCAAACTAGGAGTGATTTAACGTAATGGTTGTACAGTGATGGACTTAAGTAAGTCAGGTCTGGGTACTTGTGTAGTTTTTTGTAGCAGTGCTTCCCCCAACACAGCTGGCACAAAGCAGTGTTGGCAGAGCAGTCAAAAACCTGACTACTGCATGGAAACTGAGCAGTCCTTTCTATTTCCAAGAGTTTCTGTAGCACTGAGCTGAAGCCAGCTGGTGGACGGAAAGGGGTTGCTTATACCATTGTCTCATGTGTGAGTAAATGGTTTGCTGCCCAGCACCCTGCACAGGCAAAGCGTGCGTTGAACAGAAAGTCAGGAGAATTGGTCAGGTCCTGGAAGGATGCAGGTGGAGCAGCACGTGCAGGGAAACTCACACTTGCAAAAAGTAATCTTGGGTTATAAGCTTGGGAGAATTTCAGAGCAGCTTTCACAAACCTTTGCAGACTGTTGCAGCGGCAGACAGCAGTGACAAATTAACTTTATTCTCCAGGTCATTGAAGTGAAAGCCAGTGGAAGAACTGGGGAACTCAACTTTGTGTCGTGTCTGAGACAAACTTTAGAGAAACACTATGGAGAAAAGCCAGTTGGGATGGGTGGTACATTTGTCATTCAGAAGGGGAAAGCAAAGATTCACATTATGGTAAGTTGTTCTCAGCTCATAACTTTCTTCATCCTTCTGGAAACAGAAGTATACATCAGGATGTAACATCTTAGTGCCTTAATTTATTTTGTATTTTTAAATGTATGCATAAACTGTTAGGTTAAGCAGTGGATTAAAGTAAGGAGCTGCCATTACACAACTGACGTTACAAAGCCAGCGATGCTGTATTACTTCGCCTTAATACCGTCATCTTTTCTTTTGAAATCTGTGGGCAGCTACAGAACTGTAGAACTGTTGTAAAATTAATTGAAATTAAATACATGAACTGAGATTATATTTACAAGAAGCAATCGACTTTTTTAAAATAACTGAGCTTCCGAAATATAGCAGGAGGAGAATCCTCACCTCAGTAGTTCTCCCACTGCCTGTGCAGTGAAAGAAGCAATATTCTGGTCACTTCTGTTTCTGGCAGGAGCACAGAAATGGGCACTGGTGAGCTGCTTTTAGCCAAGAAGGAACGTGAACAGAGTAGTGGGGAGGAGATAAGTGAAGGGAAGTTGCTAGAGAAAAGTGTCCTGATACAAATGCCTTTCTTTCACTTATAAAGCTTTTACTTTTGCTGCAGCCTCCAGAATTTTCTGCCTGTCCTCTGAACACTGATGAGGATGTGAATAACTGGCTGAAATTCTTTGAAATGAAGGCTCCGCTGATTTGTCAGCCAGTAATTGTTTCCAGAGATCCAGTGAGTCTCATTTCTAACTGTAAACTGACTGTTCTAATGAATTTTGTCTTGGATGTGATCTTCCTTTGAAGAACAGGAGTGTGTATATATTGTGTTAAACTCCTCCAGAGGTGGTGTAACAAAATAGAAGCTTTTCACTTCTGTCACTAGTTTGAGCTGAGGGTAGGTTAATCTGTTCTGAAGCATAGTGGCTGTTCATAGTGGATTGAACTTAATGGTTCCATTCCAGCTGCAAGTGTACAAGCGTTTGCGTCCCAAACCCAACAGCACAGTTTGCATTCACAGCTGGCCACACCAGGAGAAATGTCAAGAGTGTGGAAGCTTACTCAGCTGTGTGTTCATGTAGTTCACTTCAGAAGAACTCTCTCTGCTAATGCTGTGTCAAAATATGCGAAGCGTGTGTCTCATAATTGCCGATGGAAATGAACTTCCTAGCATGAGGCTGTGCAGACTTTATCTAGCATCTTTGCAAGCACTAAGTTCAACAGCAAACAATTCGGGATAAAAACCAATCTGGTTTCAAAAGGCATTAAAATGCTCATTGTTAGGAAGACTATTTATTTAAAAGTAACCAGGAAACCATAGATGAAAATGACTATTTTATAAATAACAATATAGTCATAAGTAATATAAAAACCATTTTTTACAGAGTTAAATGAGATATGCTGTAGGCTTTGGATATGTTCAAGGGTATGACCTTATGGTGTCATTGCGTGGCAGCCTTTGGCCTAAGGGTAAACTGTGTGCACCTTCCCAGAATCACCTGATGAGTTCTTGGACTCCAGCCATCAACAGCTGCTCCAGTCAGAACCAATGCAGCTTGTGTAGTAGATGCCACTGGGTTATTCCCGTCTGCATCCGCCACAAGCTCAGCAGCACCTGGCTAAGCCTATGGTTTTGGAAATGTTTGAGGGTCACCACAGAGACAGCAGTAGCAGATGGCCTTTGAATGCCGTAACAGTACTCGTCAATATCCTCTTGCAGCCCAGAAAGCCAGTTGTATCCTGGGCTGCATCAAAAGCAGGGTGGCCAACAGGTCGAGGGAGGGGATTCTGCCACTCTGCTCTGGTCAGACCCCATTTGGAGTCCTGTGTCCGGCTCTGGAGCCCCCAGCACAGGACAGACATGGAGCTGTTGGAGCGGGGCCAGAGGCGGGCTAACACAACATTCCACGGGCTGTGGGGAGACCTTATAGCAGCCTTTCAGTACCCGAAGGAGGCCTGTAGGAAAGATGAGGACAGGCTTTTTAGTAGGGCCTGTCACCATAGAACAAGGGGTAATGTTTTTAAACTAAAAGAGGGTAGATTTATACCAGATATAAGGAGGGTTTTCTTTAATGTGGTGGCTGTGAGGCACTGGCACAGGTTGCCCAGAGAAGCTGTGGATGCCCCCTCCCTGGCAGTGTTCAAGGCCAGGTTGGACGGGGCTTTGAGCAACCTGGTCTGGTGGAAGGTGTCCCTGCCCATGGCAGGGGGGTTGGAGCGAGGTGTCTGTAAGGTCCCTTCCAACCCAAACCATTCTGTGATTCTGTGATACATAAAACTGGTGGTGATGATCTCACAGTTTAGTATGCTAGTTATTTTATTTGCTGTTCTTCCCATTTTCCTCTGAGCTGGCTCTCAGAATGGGAGTATAGATTGTCCCTTTATCACATGGGTCTGTGGCATTCAGTGCAAAGGGGTTCTGGTTCCCAGGAGGGGTTCCTTGGGGTGACTGCTTTGTTTAATCCCAATGGAAAGAAAGAAAAAGGAAAACTAGCAGATTGACACCAGAAGTTGGGGGCTGTCAGGGTTGCTAAATTCTTTTCTCTCTGATGTGCTATGCTAAAGCCTTGGTTTCACAAGCGTCTTGCAAGTTTTCACTGCTTAACGGTTGGGGTAGGCTCCAAGATGCGTGGAAACAGGCACGTAGGAGAGACTGTCCCAGGACTTTTAAATGCTGTTCGCCTGACTGCGTGTTGGTGGCCTTTGTCTGGTGGCAGGGCTTCGACCTGCGCGTGGAGCACACCCACTGTTTCAGCCAGCACGGGGAAGGCGGCCACTACCACCAGGACACCAGCCCGGACGGCGTGCAGTACCTGGGCTACCTGCTGCCCGCCGAGCTGCTCTTCCGCATCGACCGGCCCCCCGAGACGGGGACTGAGGAGCCCCGGCCGGCTTTGCCCTCCTCACATACAAACGATGATTTTTATAATGCTTTTGATTACACACATTTGTCAGAATCAAGAATAAATATGAGAGCAGTAAACTGCTGACTTCTTAATTTTGTTGAATCATAGAATGCTTTGGGTTGGGAGGGACCTTTAGAGGTCATCTGGCCCAACCCCCCTGCAGTGAGCAGGGACATCTTCAACCAGACCAGGTTGCTCAGAGCCCCGTCCAGCCTGGCCTGGAATGTTTCCAGGGACGGGACACCTCCCACCTCTCTGGGCAGCCTGTGCCAGGGTTTCACCACCCTCACGGTAAAAAATTTCTTGCTTATATGCAGTCTGAATCTACCCTCTTTTAGTTTAAAGCCATTGTTCCTTGTCCTCTTGCAACAAGCCCTGCTGGGAATGCTTTCCCCATATATATATTTGAAGCGAGAAATTCAGCGTGTGCATGTAATAGGAATTGTTATGACTGGATTCACAAGGTAATTTCATTGAAATATTATTAATTGTGTACTCTTTTGCTTATTAGTTGAGCTTCTTAAGTGGTCGTAGCTGATGACGGGGAACCCGCAGTGAATTTACGTTTGGAACGGGGAACCAATCCAGCTCCTGCTCGGAAATGGCGCCGGGAAGAGAGACCGCGGCGGCTGCGAGCGGCGCCGCCGCCTGAGG